AGCTTTTTTTTACCATGATTGTGTGTGGGGAAATTCCCCTTCGATTCTATTGGCTCTAACGGTCAGAAAGAGGTGTCAACCATCAAAATCGACCAATGGGTTCCAGAGAAACGGTAAAACCCCCATTTCCACCCAAATCACCTCAGAGGTGGAGTTTATTTTGCTAAGCCTCTCTAAAAAGGTCAAATGTCACTTGTTTTGCATCAATCTTGATACAGCGTACTTATTATATGTTGTAGTTTGGATTCCTAAAGCTTTTAGTCTACCTTACCATCATCCAAGGGTAGTTTTCACTATAAGTAAAAAAGAATTTTTGGACGGACACTATAATTTACAGTTTTTTACTATGTTCAATCTGAATTTTCTTTAAAATAAAAAACATCTATATTGATTCTGACTTTTCTACATCCAACTCACAGGTTTATCATTACTTTGAGAAAAAAGATTATTAATTTAACCCTTTTAGAAGGGAAGATATGGTCATTTGTTCTGGGAATGTCATTTTCGAGCCTGAGACCTGAAAAACAGGCTCAGTGCTTAACAGGTTAAAAGGGTTAATCCACACAGGGCTCCTGGACCTTATGGCATCCCTGGCCGTGTTCTCAGGGTGTGTGCAGTTCAGCTGGCAGAGGTGTTCACAGACATCTTCAACAGGTCCCTGCTGCAGTCTGTAGTCCCCACATGTTTGAAACATTCCACCATCGTTCCTGTCCCCAAAAAGACAAAAATCACCAGCCTCAACGACTACCGCCCAGTAGCACTCACCTCCATCATAATGAAGTGCTTTGAGCGGTTAGTCAAATCATTCATCACCTCCTCCCTCCCTGACTCTCTGGACCGCCTGCAGTTTGCCTACAGAGCAAACAGGTCCACAGACGACGCCATAGCCCTCACCATCCACACTGCCCTCTCACACCTGGACCAGAGGAACACATATGTGAGAATGCTATTCATTGACTACAGTTCAGCATTCAATACCATTGTGCCCTACAAGCTGGTCATCAAGCTCAGAGACCTCGGGCTCAACAGCGCCCTCTGTGACTGGATCCTGAACTTCCTGACGGGCAGACCCCAGGCAGTGCGGGTGGGAAACATCACATCCTCCACCCTGATCCTCAACACTGGAGCCCCTCAAGGCTGCGTGCTCAGCCCTCTACTCTCTGTTCACACACGACTGCGTGGCCACACACAGCTCCAACACCATTGTGAAGTTTGCTGACGACACGACCATCATCGGCCTGATCACCGACGGCGACGAGACGGCGTACAGAGAGGAGGTCGAAAACCTGACATCTTGGTGCCAGGATAACAACCTCCATCTCAACATCAGTAAAACCAAGGAGCTGATTGTGGATTACAGGAAGCAGCAGAGAGAGGGACACGCCCCCATCACCATCAATGGGACTACGGTGGAGAAAGTCAGCAGCTTCAAGTTCCTCGGTGTCCACATCACTGAGGACCTGACATGGACTCTTCACACCACCACCATCACCAAGAAAGCTCGACAGCGGCTCTTCTTCCTCCGCAGGCTGAGGAGGTTCAACATGGACTCCAGGATACTCTGCAACTTCTACAGGTGCACCATAGAGAGCATCCTGACCTTCTACAGGTGCACCATAGAGAGTATCCTGACCTTCTACAGGTGCACCATAGAGAGGATCCTGACCTTCTACAGGTGCACCATAGAGAGCATCCTGACCTTCTACAGGTGCACCATAGAGAGCATCCTGACCTTCTACAGGTGCACCATAGAGAGGATCCTGACCTTCTACAGGTGCACCATAGAGAGCATCCTGACCTTCTACAGGTGCACCATAGAGAGGATCCTGACCTTCTACAGGTGCACCATAGAGAGCATCCTGACCTTCTACAGGTGCACCATAGAGAGCATCCTGACCTTCTACAGGTGCACCATAGAGAGGATCCTGACCTTCTACAGGTGCACCATAGAGAGCATCCTGACCTTCTACAGGTGCACCATAGAGAGGATCCTGACCTTCTACAGGTGCACCATAGAGAGGATCCTGACCTTCTACAGGTGCACCATAGAGAGTATCCTGGCCGGCTGCATCACGGCCTGGTACGGCAGCTGCACCGCCCTCAACCGTAAGGCTTTACAGAGGGTGGTGAATACTGCACAGAACATCACCAGGATGGAGCTGCCATCCATGGCTCAGGAAGAAAGCCCTCAGGATTATAAAAGACCCCCATCACCCCAACCACAAACTGTTCTGTCTGCTGCCGTCTGGCAGGCGGTACCGCAGCATCCGGACTAAAACCACCAGACTCAGGGACAGTTTCATCCCACAGGCCATAAGACTATTAAACACCTGAACTTTTGAAACAACATCCATAATATTCATCTGGCTGCTACTTTCGAAATTATTTATCTAATATATCATATTCAATCACTTGCATATAAACTATAATTGCACTATTCCACTATTTCACTTTTTTACTATTTTCCTTTTTGTATTTACTTGTACTATTTTTTCTGTTGTATTGTGTTGCACTGTTGGAGGAGCCTGTGACCTAAGATTTTCATCGTCATAACTACACTGTAGCTATGCACGCATGATCAATAAAAGCCTTGAACCTTGAAGAGTAGATTAAAAATAAAATGTATTTTGGAAAAGATTATTGCCACAAAAATCAAAGGGTGGCTCAACACGCCCTGAAATGGGAAATAATTAGCTCTAATTTAAGAGTGGGATTAAAGGAACAATAAATATGCTTGCCATGTTGTGTTTTTGGTGGTATTTGGTTGTCAACCTATTTTTGTTTCCCAACCACAGGTTGGGAACCGCTGGTCTAGGGGCATAAAGTCCAACAAAAAGTGACGGTAACTTCTGTAGGAAGCCTCTACGAAAAAAAAGGGAAATATTTGGAACAGCTGATCATCCTCATGCCAGAACCTCCCTGAACCTGCACTTAGAGCACTGGACTGGTCAGCAGTTCCTCCGGGGGGGGGGGGGCTGGCCAGGGTCCACATGACACACGAGCTCTCACTGAGACTATCAGCAGGGGGGCCATACCATAAAATGATGCTGCCTCCATTATTCAGCTCAGCCTCTGTTGGTTGGCCTGCTTAGCGTTCCCCTCACCTTCCTGCTCACTTTCATTAATGTTGGCTGCCCCCCCCCCTACCCTGCCTCTCTCCGCTCTCCCTGCTTGGCCCCCTGTGAACTGTGTACAAATAGAGATTAGTTTAGAAATTCATCAGCCTGGTCGTTATCTGTCATTGGCGCGCCACACCATAACAATCCCAGAGGGAGGGGGGGGGATGTAAGCAATGAGTTCCTCTTTTTCACTGTGTCAAAGAAAGGGAAAGGGGGAGAGGACTATTAATAAATGGAGGGAGACAGAGATATGGAGAGATAGAGAGGGGAGATAAAATAGAGGGAGATAGATAAGGGAGGAGGGGGGGATGTCGAGTTTAGGGACACAGCAGGAGATGCCAACAGCGTTTGGAACATATGTTTATGCTCTGCAGATTTAGGATTACACACACACCCTGGACAATACTCCCAACATGCAACAGTTCTGTGAGACACAGCTGATCCCTCAGAGATGTGTTCGGTTGTGTGCTACTAGTGTGTGTGTGTGTGTGTGTGTGTGTGTGTGTGTGTGTGTTGGTGCGGCCGGATTATGAGGACAATTCGCATGGATACACACCAGCATTATAAGGACATTTCGACTTGTGAAGACAAAACTGGTGTCCTCACAAGTCGCGCAGTGTAGAAGCACTTATCAACATGTAAATAAAACCCTCCCGCTTTTTCTCGGTATGTCCTAATAAACCGCCTACACCTGATTTCTAGTGTATATTTGTGTGTGCTCATTGTGTATAAAACGCTCGTACAGCCGATTCATGATATTGCAGTTTCATACACATTTCCCTCTCTTTTTACACAAAATAAGCGCTTTTCATTGGCTGGACACACCTGCTCACTAATTGGGCGGCTAAAGACTCAATCAGGCAGGTTCTCATCAGGGATTGGCGAGCAGTCATCACGCGGGCAGGTTCTCATAGGGAGTGGTCTTTCAGTATTCGGTCATTGACTCACCAAGAAACAGTAGCAGTACATGGCTGAGGACATTGCTGATGGCAAAGTGGCTTTTAACCAAAACTGGTAAGTGATATTTTTATCATGTATTTGAAACAAAATATAAGGATTTAAATGTTTGTTTGGTGACTAGCTACAACCTAGCATCAAAGCTTCAGCTGTTCGTTTATGACTTTGTTTGTCCGGCTCAGTGTATCGCCACGAGGCATACTGTTTGGTGGCTAGCTACAACCTAGCATCAAAACTTCAGCTGTTCGTTTTCCGGCTCAGTGTATCGCCACGAGGCATGCTCCCCATCGCGTTTCGTGTGTTTAAAAAAAGCAATAGGATGAAGTTAGTTAGTTAGTAAGTTAATCCTACCAAGACACTGCATTTTACTGGAAACGTAAGTGTGGAGTGCACCAGCTGGGCGTAAAAAAGGAGGTCTTAACTCTAAGGTCTGGCTTAGCTACGTCCAACTTATGGCGCATTTCCACTACAGCGTGGAGCTCGCTTTAAGCGTGCCGTGCCCGGCCCGTTTTTGGTTGCATTTCCACTTGGCGTAGTTCCGGCTAGTGGGTACTATTTCAGTTTTTCTGGCCCCATAAAATCGAGGTTCTTTCCGGGCCAACAACCAGGCTGAGTCGGGCTGATGTAGAGAGAGAATCGCTGGCAAGGGGGCTACAACTACAACAAAATGAACATATTTGACCGTGATTTAATTGTAATACACGTTTCAAAATGATGCCGAATTAACAACATACTGATACCGGTTAGTAAAAACCATGAATTAATGCTTTGACAAGTCTGCAGACAGACGGCAGGCGAAAAACCTTTTAAAATGCGTGTTTTCTAAATGGAGATGCTTTTTACCCCAAGAGATGTTATTGTTAACCATGCTTTGGTATATTAAACTTAGCCTGTTCTCTGTTTTATTTTTTAGCAATAGCAAGGATGACACAAAGGAGCAGGAGAAAGACTCCTGAACAGGATGCAATAGACCATATAATTCTGGGCAGAGACAAACCCTTCCTAGAGGCCAGGTTCATCAACACGTTTAAAGGTAAGCTATTTATCTCATACAGTATGTAGTATCAAAGACCGTATAGCATTGTTTCATCAATATGGTCCAACTGGGCACACAGGGAACCCTGACCTTTTAGTCATTGCTCTTAGGCCATCAGCCTCACGTATTTTCAACAATGTACGTTTTCAGGAAATGTCTTTAAAATGTGTGCTCCTCTCATTGAAAAACAACACTGTATACCAAATCAATTGTGTCCTAAACTGCCAGACACCCGCTGTGTTTAGAGATGCTTTGACTACACTTTTGGGGAGGTTTCACAGAGCCTCTCCTCAGTGCGAGGGTTTTTTGGCAGGGTTAGCAAACTACCCGGCCCTTATTATTATATCATGAAGCCTTTTTAACCATGCATATGATCATTTATTGAAATCAAATGTGTACAACAGAACTTATGATAGCACAACATTGTCTATCCTCTCAATGTAGCCTCTTAATTATGACAGTGCACAATAATGGTACCTTTAACTTTAAAATATAACATTTGTGTTGACATTTTACATTTTATTTTGTATATGTTTATACATATGGCAACAAAAAGTACTATTGCTTTACAAGTATTTTCTAATATGTTGCAACATCTAATCTGAACATTAGATGGAACATGCTGATTAAAACAGTGCTCTGATTATTTACAATGAAATTCAATATAAAATAATGTGTCACTTCATACCAGTAAATAATCGTGAACTCACCCCTGGATATAGTCAAATCACAGCTACCCTCAACCCTAGCAGTGTTGGCATCACTATGTTAAGCGTTTCAAAGTACTGTTAACCAACACCTTTTGCATATCACTGTGGAGCTTTATTGGAGAAAGGAGTGCGTGCTGATCAAACAATTTGACTCCGTATTTACCTGCAAGGCACTTTACATGTCAGAGGCTAACTTGGATGAATTATGTGTGGATAGCAGTGTTAGGCATCTAACACACTCATGGCAAATATTTACAAATAATTGGGTATAGGTAAATGTTTAATGTTAATGGATTTTTTTTGCTATTGTAGGACGTGGTGTTTTTACACGGGAATATATTGCACTGTCAACTTTTGTGGTGGAGTACCGTGGAATATTGGGTGCAAGTGAAGATCTAGATGTCAAAAATAACATCTTCTTATTCGATTTCATCTGGTCTGGAATGCACTTTTGGTGAGTTTGCTGCTTATTGATTACCTCAAATGGATAATTGACCATTACCAGATTTATGTGTTTCCTAGTGACTTCTTGTATGAATTCAGTGCTTTTCTGTCATGATACATGATGTTGTATCTGGACTATTTGTCTTGCAGTATTAATGCTTCAAAAGAGGATGGAACACTTGGACGTCTTGCAAATGATAATCACAGGAATCCAAACTGCAGAGTGAAAAAAATCGTTGTCAAGGGAACCCCACACTTGTGCCTATTTGCTGTAAAGGAAATATTCCCAGAGGAGGAGTTAACTTACAACTATGGGGATTCTGCTTGGCCCTGGCGCTTAAAGGTGAGGTTATGTTCTCTTTAGGACATTGCTTAACTGACAGGGAAAAAGTGTTGCATTGTTCTCCATGGTACTACCACTCAGCTCAGTTAAGCAGATTTAATTTATTTCAGCAAAAAATGTGCAGGCCTACTGTAGGGAAAGCAGTCCTTGTAAGGACAGAGGATTTTAAAACCTGTTGACATGACTACACATTAGATCATTGCCTTCATCCAGCATGTGCACACCTCCATAACTGTTAAACCTTTGCAGCACACACGTCAGATCAAACCACTACCACGGTGACAACAATGTCTTTTGTTTGTGCTACAATTTCAGGCTCCCCGGGAAGTAGCTTCTAACCCTGAGCCCGAGAGAGATCCTCCGTTGTCCCCACAAACCAAAATGGCAAGTTGTACTTCATATCACAATCACTTTCTGTGTTGGGCTGTAGAGGGAAACAATACATGTACACTGGGCCTGTGACAGTATTGTACTTTTCTTAATGCTGTGAAAGATTAGTCACATTCCAGAAACGGAACTACTGAGATGCGCCGGTGAAGATGGCCGCATTGTCTTTGTGCTCCTCTCCAACTTTGCCCATTTTCGTATTTTGTACATATTTCTTTTACTTTTGCCGTTTTACTTTTAACATGGTTCGCAACATGCTAGCCGACCGCACCTACTCTGCCATACAATATAGCAGAGAGGAACTTTTCCAATTGCGAAACTTCGTGGACAATATTAACCCTCCGATAGACAATGGAGATTCACCATGGCTACCTGTTGCTGTTCTACCTGAGAGACGCAAGAAGAAGACAAAGCGAGGATGCCGGGCCGGGTTGCTGGTCAGACTGAGAAAACGTGAGAATCGGCCCCCTCTTCCGAGTATTCTTCTGGCTAATGTTCAATCCATTGAAAATAAGCTAGATGAACTCAGAAGCCGGATTGCTTTTCAACGGGACATTAAGAACTGTAACGTGTTAATTCTCACTGAGACTTGGCTCAACCCCGCTATCCCGGACTCCGCTATTGTCCCTGACGGATTCTCTATTTTTCGTCAGGACCGGACTGCAAACTCGGGGAAAAGTAAGGGAGGCGGTGTGTGTGTAATGACTAACAACAACTGGTGCTCAGATGTGAAGATTATTTCATCGGACTGTTCCGCACAGCTAGAGCACCTCATGATCTCATGTCGGGCCTTCCATCTGCCGAGGGAATTCACATCTGTTGTGATAACAGCAGTGTATATCCCGCCGCAGCCACTCGCCGACAACAACACGGCACTCGATCAGCTGTTTGGGTTTATTGATAAAACCGAGACTTCACGGCCAGATGCGGCGTTCGTTGTGGCCGGAGATTTCAACACCGCCAACATGAAGAAGGTTTTGCCAAAATATTACCAACACATCAACTTCCCGACGCGCGGGGGAAACATACTGGACCATGTTTATTCCCCTTTCCGGAATGGATATAAGGCTCTCCCTCGCCCTCCCTTCGGCAAATCAGACCATATCTCACTACTGTTGTTGCCTGCTTACAAGCAGAAACTTAAAAGGGACAGACCGATAACAAGGACAGTACAACGATGGAGCGAGGAGTCAGATTCAGCACTGCAGGATTGCTTTTCATCTACGGATTGGAGTGTGTTTGAGGACAATAACATCAACACACACACGGACACTGTCATCTGCTACATTGGGAAATGCATCGATGACGTGGTACCGAAGGTTTCTGTACGGACATTCCCAAATCAAAAGCCCTGGGTAAACGGTGAGGTGCGCGGCAAACTGAAAGCGCGCACTCTCGCGCACACAGCGGGAGATTTGGAGGAGTACAGGAAGTCTAGGTATGATCTCCGGAGAGCAATAAAAAATGCAAAGAGACAGTACAAAGAGAAGGTGGAATCTGACTTCAAAGGCTGTAACACTAGGAATATGTGGGCGGGACTAAGGACAATGACTGACTACAAAGGAGCAGCGGGGGGTGCTGCGGGAGTGTCTGCGTGCGCATCTCTCCCAGATGAGCTAAACAGTTTTTTTGCACGCTTTGAGAGCAGCCAGGCTGTGGAGGTACAGAGGGACCAGGAGCTACACTGCCCTTTTGTTTTAAATAGGGCAGATGTGTGTAAATCCTTTAAAAGGGTTAACCCACACAAGGCTCCTGGACCTGATGGCATCCCTGGCCGTGTTCTCAGGGTGTGTGCAGTTCAGCTGGCAGAGGTGTTCACAGACATCTTCAACAGGTCCCTGCTGCAGTCTGTAGTCCCCACATGTCTTAAACACTCCACCATCATTCCTGTCCCCAAAAAGACAATCATCACCTGCCCCAACGACTACCGCCCAGTAGCACTCACCTCCATCATAATGAAGTGCTTTGAGCGGTTAGTCAAATTATTCATCACCTCCTCCCTCCCTGAATCTCTGGACCCCCTGCAGTTTGCCTACAGAGCAAACAGGTCCACAGACGACGCCATAGCCCTCACCCTCCACACTGCCCTCTCACACCTGGACCCGAAGAACAGGAACACATATGTGAGAATGCTGTTCATTGACTACAGTTCAGCATTCAACACCATTGTGCCCTCCAAGCTGGCCATCAAGCTCAGAGACCTCGGGCTCAACAGCGCCCTCTGCGACTGGATCCTGAACTTCCTGACGGGCAGACCCCAGGCAGTGCGGGTGGGAAACATCACATCCTCCACCCTGATTCTTAACACCGGTGCCCCTCAAGGCTGCGTGCTCAGCCCTCTCCTCTACTCCCTGTTCACCCACGACTGCGTGGCCACACACAGCTCCAACACCATCGTGAAGTTTGCTGATGACACGACCGTCATCGGCCAGATCACAGACGATGACGAGACGGCATACAGAGAGGAGGTCGAAAACCTGACATCTTGGTGCCAGGAGAACAACCTCCATCTCAACATCAGCAAAACAAAGGAGCTGATTGTGGATTACAGGAAGCAGCAGGGAGAGGGACACGCCCCCATCGCCATCAATGGGACTACGGTGGAGAGAGTCAAAAGCTTCAGGTTCCTTGGGGTCCACATCACTGAGGACCTGACATGGACTCTTCACACCACCACCATCACCAAGAAAGCTCGACAGCGGCTCTTCTTCCTCCGCAGGCTGAGGAGGTTCAAAATGGATTCCAGGATACTCTGCAACTTCTACAGGTGCACCATAGAGAGTATCCTCACTGGCAGCATGACGGCCTGGTACGGCAGCTGCACCGACCTCGATCGTAAGGCTTTACAGAGGGTGGTGAAAACTGCACAGCACATCACCAGGACGGAGCTGCCATCCATGGAGGACCTTTACTCCCAGCGGCTCAGGAAGAAATCACTACGGATTATCAAAGACCCCCATCACCCCAGCCACAAACTGTTCTTTCTGTTGCCGTCTGGCAGACGTTACCGCAGCATCCGGGCAAGGACAAGAAGATTCGGAGACAGTTTCTTCCCGCGGGCAGTGAGACTGTTAAACAATTGAACTGTTGAAACAACATCAAACATTCAACTGCTACTCAGTAGTATGTATCTAATACCTAATATATATATATCATTCCAATAACTTGTATATAGACTCATACTGCACTATTCCACATCATAACTTTATTTCATTTTTATAACTATTATTATTTTTGTATTGCTCTTGCTCTTATTGTTATTATGTTATGTTATTATGTTGCATTGTTGGAGAAGCCTGTGACATAAGATTTTCAACTGCATAATTACTCTGTAGCTATGTCAGATTGACAATAAAGAACCTTGAACCTTGAACCTTGAAACATATGTGTCTCTATATTATTTAAGCCATAGTTTGTCTACTGTTATTTACTGCAGCATGAAAAGATAAATGCTCAGAGTAAGAGTTAGTAGTCGTATTTGGAACAGAGGAGCAGCGCTACCATGGCATTCATGAAACAAAATGAGGATGCCAACTTGTAATATGGTTAAAATGACAGTCCTACTGTGCTAATCAGCTTTCTTCCTGGGATGAGATATGCTGATGGCTGCTGCACACATAGCATGCTAACAGTCAATGTGTTAGTAGATTTTTTTATCAATTATTGCTCTGTGATAAATTGCTTTTAGGCCCCAACATGTTATTTAGGGGCTAATAATGTCTTTTTATTTTCATTGCTGGCTAATGAATTGGATAAAGTCGTGTTAATGTTCAGATGTGTGTCCCATTGATAGATGAATGGAAATGAGTCGATAATGTTTTAAAGTCGTGCCTATCTTTCACTTATTTACAGGAAGTAAGTGGTGGGACACGAGAGGCTGGGACCGAACTTCATACAACTACAAACGCATCAGGGGACACGATGGTAAGTTTCTATGTATTGTTTTTCCATACATTGTTGCGTGTCGCTGACTGGAATAGATTGAAGCTGTTTTACCAGGACTATTGTCTTGGTAAGGGGGCTCCGTTTCCCCATACTTTGGGTCACATTGAAACGGGTTAAATGTTATACTACACAGAAAGATGAAGGCCGTCTGGTCACAGGGTGTCTTGTAGGCACAGCAGTCCTTGTAAGGACAGAGGATTTACAACCTGTTGACATGACTAGACATTAGATCATTGCCTTCATCCAGCATGTGCACACCTCCATAACTGTTAAACCTTTGCAGCACACAAGTCAGATCAAACCACTACCACGGTGACAACAATGTCTTTTGTTTGTGCTACAATTTCAGGCTCCCCGGGAAGTAGCTTCTAACCCTGAGCCCGATAGAGAACCACCGTCCTCCCCACAAACCAAAATGGCAAGTTGTACTTCATAATACTCTATCACCATTGTTTTTTCACACACTGGTAAAGGGAGGAATCTTTGTCACATATATGGCAAACAAGTTGGATATCTGTCAGCTTGTTAGCGTTGATGACGCCTTGACCTAAGATACACAATTTAGGCAGGACATACTTTCAATACTACTTCAACTGCTCTTAGTCAGATGCTAATAAGAGTTTTTCAAAATGAAGAGTACAATTTGTGTTTTTTATAAAATAAGGTGTCCAAGCAGACAACCTTATTGTTTTTCATTGTCATAAGGATTATGTCCTAAAAGTATCTGGGTCACATTTCACACTCAAACACCCTTAAAATAACATATATATTTATTTTGTTTATGTTCAATTTTTGATCCACAGTGTCATCATGAACTCACCAGTGCAGTTATTTCCTCTTTGGATAATTGTCATGATTGCAGAGGACCTGTCTCAAGCCTCAAATGGATTGGTTTTACGTGTAAATGTAAGTACCTGTCAAACAACACTGTTTTATTTTTTACTCTGAGAAGATAAACATTTCGATAAAACAGACTTAATTTCAAATACTTAACTTAGATTCTAAATGACTTACTTTCTTCTTTGTTATATAGTGAAATGCACAGTGATTAAATGTTAAAATAATGCTCAAGAAATGTTACCAGTACATTTTTCTTGTGTAATTGTGTTTTTAGTATGTTCAACCTCATGGCACAAAACCTGCTTCATCAAGAACAACGAGTCACCGGTACGTAATGTGTTTATATAAATATCTGATTTCTTTGGATAATGAAAAAAATACAAACTTGGTGTTCCTTTATTTATTTTTTTAAAGATGAAGGACATCTGCCTTTCCAGTAATGAAGGTTCCGTCAGTGATAAAGACTACATTCCTGAAACGGCGTCTAGCAGCGATGGATCCAGCGCCGATGAAGACTGCCCACCTGACTCTGAAGCAAATACTGATTGGGATCATCTCATTGCCACCATCAGGGATTCAAAGCCACCCCATTGTAAGACTGCACCAACTGTCTCTACAAAGAACTATGTTGAACACCAAGACACGGCTGCTACTACCTCTGACAAATTCCAACTTCATGAAGATTTCATCCCTGATATGGCATCCAGTTCTGAAACAATTGAGAGTGTTGCAAATCCCAAAGACTCTTCTTGCACCCTCAAAAATTACTGTTATGTTTGCAGTAAACCTCAATCTAAGATTGCTCGTCACTTTAAGAAGCATGAGAAAGAACAACCTGAAATTGCTGAAGCATTTATGTTCCCTAAACATTCTAAAGAGAGAAAACGGTTACTAGAATAGCTGCGAAACAAAGGTAATTACCACCAAGAGACAATGCAGAATCAAAGCGGACCACTGAAACTAACAGCCTGTTAGTTTCAAAACCTGTGTGCTTACAGCTATATGTCCCAACACATCAGCCGTTAGCTGTTAGCACACACTCAGAGCTCACAGCTCCTCATATCTGTTCAGAAACGGGACAAAAGTTAAACAAGTACAAACCATAGACTGTCTGTATCATGGTGAATACAGTCGCTGCTTTATTTATGTCTGTATGACGTTGTTGTGAGTGTGGACGGAGCAGCTACAGGTTAGTTTAGCCTAATGGATCCGATTCCATTCAGAAAACACGCATTTTAAAAGCTTTTCGCCTGCCGTCTTGACATTAAATCCATCAGCAGTGACCACACTGGTGATTTCTGAAGAGTTGACGTGTCTGAAAAACGATGGTTGTTACCAAGTGGCTGAATGGGACTACAGAAGTTGTAGAGGACGTTGTACGTCATTACACCGAACACGTAAACACTCCAAGTTAGTTAGCCCTGTTCTGCTTGAAAGCAAGTGCCTGCCTCCTGCAAACTGTTCAAACAAACGCTTCAACTTGTACCATTTAGAATCTGTATGTTTGAATATGGATCTTAAGTTGGCGTGACGTTGAAGTAGCGACCCTGCTGTAGTTCGTTTATAGCATAACGTTAGCATTTTGCTTCTGGCGACTAGATTTATGATTAGAAAATGATAATTGTAGGTAGACGTGTGGAGATTAACCGGCTGAACAAAACGTACATTTATCAAACCGGTTCGTTTTCCACAGACCTTATTTCGAGCTATTTTCCAAAATCCTATGGAGAAATCCCATTGCTTTTTGTCGAGGCAACCCATGCGCAGCTTACTTCCGGGTAAATACGTCATCCCTGCACCACTCTATAGACCATAATAGTCCTTATAATTCAAGTCAATGAAATGAGATTGTGAGTGCATTCATTTTTGCTTCAGTCGGTGTATTTTTGATTTAATGTTTAGGATGTTGGAGAGATATGATAATGTAAGTATCATTCAAAAGTATATATAAGTTTGCTTTTTGTTCAGGAGTTAAACGTTTTTTTCAAGAGGGGAGACAGTCAGGACTGTTCAAATGTTTTTATTTGCACGTCCTAGTATATAATCATGTTGCCATTATTTTTTTATAATCATGTTGCCATTATGTTGCCATGTTGCCATTATTTTTTAGAAGTAGATATGTACATTTTATACAAATTAACTTCACTATAACTATATCTTTTTTGTAATTTTTTTATTTCACTGTTTAAGTGTTTGCAATGTTTGTATTGTCACAATACCAGAATTGCCAGTTATCAATACATGACTACATTTCAACTTAGCTTTTGATCTTGACCTTATTTCTGAGCAACTCAATCAACTTATTATTCACTTGTCCACTAAAAAGACAACATTTCTCAATATTTCACTTCCTTCCATGATAATTTTAGGCTGCGCAGGTTCTATCATATGTCAAGGTCTCTGTCAGAATTAAATCCTCTGTCACTTTTCAATGACAGCCGACTGGTAAAGAGATTGTCAGAAATACTTGTATTGTCCATCGCAAAATCCCTGCATATGGTTATTAAAAACAGGTGTTTGTCATCAAAGCAACAAGAAAAAAGCTGCATATGTTGATGTTCAGGTCTCTGAACACTGAGGTCTGTGAAAATGAGAAAGTGGTCTGCTCTTTGTACCATTGCTCTCCTAAGTTAAATACCTTTTTCTCTTCAACATTTAAAATAAACGGAAGTATTGGGCTACTTTTTCAGTAACAAAATATTGCGCAACACATGTTTGAGGATAATGTCCAGTGAAACCATTATTGTCCTCATGAGTACAGGTTTTCTACAAATCTGTGTGTGTGTGTATATTGTCCAGATATGCCATTGTGGTCCTCATAACGTAGGGACTTGCTTTGTGTATGGGTGTGTATGGGTAATGTCCAGCTAATCCACATGGGTTCTCATAAGTCATAATTTTGTCAGGAAACGCCCACTCCCGCCCCCGTCCCCACAGTGCTGTAGAATTTCAGGTCTACAGATCTCTACACTCTTTTACCAAAACTGAATTCTAAATAGCCAGAAATGTAGCTGAATTTTTTATGATCAGTTCAAGCACTCTGCGGTCTCTCTACGGCAAAGGGAAAGGTGGGTCCCCATAAATCAGTGTTTGAACTGGTACGAGGAAAAAGTCCTGACAAACCACGTGTGTGTGTGTGTGTGTGTGTGTGTGTGTGTGTGTGTGTGTGTGTGTGTGTGTGTGTGTGTGTGTGTGTGTGTGTGCGTGTGTGCGTGTGTGCGTGTGTGTGTGTGTGTGTGTGTGTGTGTGTGTGTGTGTGTGTGTGTGTGTGTGTGTGTTAGAGAGAAAGATAGCTTTGTCCACTAACATCTGTCACCAGTCGGGTAAGAGAAAAAGCCTTTCAGCCAAGCGCTACTTTTTATTTCTGCTTACATCAGGGAGGCCAGTCTGATCCTCACTTATTATGACTAGCTGATTCATAGCCTCTAGAGTAACACACACACACACACACACACTAACAATACTATATATGTGTGTGTTTGATTAACCTGCTGTCACTTCCATAAGAGACAGAGCAGAGACAGAACCAAATGCTGCCGAGGCAGAACTGACTTCTTGTGTGTTCCAGTGGAAACATTGTGTAGATATTTTGTTGATTCACCTCCCACCAGCAAAAAGTAATCACAGTTTGCTTTTGAAGTGGCTGAAATGCAATAACTGCTTTAATGCAAATATTGGAGCACAGAGCACTCAGCAGCCTGAGAAAACACAATGTGCATTAATATTTCATAGTGAGACAGCAGAGCTCCAACTCTGGTAATTCTACAGTGTAGGTCCATGGTTTGTTTTGTTTATCCTGCAGTTTAGCAGTAATTAATCATGTTAATATTTCGTTTTTTACTCTTTACTCTGCGGACTGGACTCTTATGGTTGTGTGCAAACTCTTAATTGGGCCTCAAGGAGAGGAAACATTACACTTTAGAGCATTCTATAACTAACTTCAGCTGTTTGAACAGACATGATTATAAGGAGAGTTATTAAGTTGCAAAGTGCTTCAGCACATGTTTTAAAAACACTCTGTAACAATTCAATTATGTTCACAAAGAAATCCAGAAGCCAAATGAATTGTTGTGTCTGAAGTGATATCCAGTAAAACCTGCACATGCGGTACATTATTAATCACAATGTGACTTTGGTTGTTGGCTTGTAGCAGCATCAAACGTATGTTAAGCATATATTTGGTGTTCATGTGGAGACAAACAAGAGGAATGAGAAAGAGAAGGGAAGATGCTTAATTAAAGTTGTTTACCACATTAGGATGTTGTGAGTCCATGGAGCGCGTCTGATTCTGCCTCTAAATGAAAGAGACCGTATATGCTTTGAAATTACTTCTATAAAATTAATGAATTTCTGCTTCCCCTCAACAACTTTAAACCAATAGTCTCCCATATTATCTACAACACTTGCGATTACTTTTTGATGTATGACCATGTATGACTATTGTATTATTTTTTTGCTTTGTTTTTTCCTCTGTGGTGTTTTAAAATGCTCTGTAAAATCATTCCTCCTTTATTTTTGCCATGTACTTATCACCATTGTATTTTATAAAAAGACACTATGAAACATAAGTTGTGATATTATTCCTTCAATAGAAGGACATTTATTGGTGGAACTTGACATTGTTTTTTTCATTCTAAACTGTATAAAATGTACCTGGCATAAGAGCCCTGCACCGAGGCGGCAAAGAAAGAGTGATGAAGACTCTAGTTCAAAACATTTTAAATGATTTTGAATAAACCTATCTGTGATTGTAGAGCAATGACACAATCCTTGGTAGAGAGTGTCTTAGGGCCCATGTCCACATAGCGCATTCTTCTGATCATCAACGTGTTTTTTATTTGATTCCCATGAGAACCAAGCTCATGCCATCGTAGGTGGCCCCCTCCAGAAAAGAAAGAAAAAGCTGTCTGTTGGAGCAGATCGGAGAGGGGTGGACGCCGGATGTTGCTGCCGGTGAGTGTGTGACTTTGTCCTCCTCCCTCTCTAAAATCATCACAAAGATTGTATGTCAACCCTGTGGGAGACTCCAATAATCAGCAGACCATAATAACATAGTGAGGCTGTCCCAACATCATCTCTGACCCCCACCATGTTCTGAACAGTGAATATTAATTGTTACCATCAGAGATACAGTGTTAAAACGAGGTACAAAAATACTGGACTCAATTGCAACGACTCACTTTTTAATGAGAAAAAATAAACAAAGTTTAAACAAAAGATCACTCTTGCGAGGACAAAATAAAGCTCTTGGTTTATTATGAAGTGCGACATCTGTATAGCCCTCTTCAGGCAGGTCCCTCCCCATCCTGTTCTGGACGCGTCCGTGAACACTGTATGTGGACACAGGCCCTTAGTTTCAGCTATGCATTCCAACCAACAAGTCCTCCAACTAATATGACCAAATAGGCCGATTGTTCCGACCCATAATACGACCCACAGGAGCGTTTTCTACATATCTTCTAGAAACATATTTTCTCCCACGTTACGTTTGTTATGAACGTATCTTAAAGGGGACCTATCATGCAAAATGCACTTTTGTACGTCTTTTATACATGAATATGTGTCCCCGGTGTTCCAGGGAACTCACCAAGTGTCAGAAAACACAACCCTCTCTATTTTCCTCCATACCCAAATCTCTAAAAAAGGGGCTGCAACGGATCTGATAAAAACTGATCCAGATTTGAACACTGTCCTGACGTCAGGACGGTGGCGCTACGGCTATTGGGCCAACTCCACCAATCAGGAGGAGACAGCCACGGCCATTGCCGTTCGAAAGCGCTGGAGACGCTGTAGTACATATGCCAGGCCTGTAGGTGGTGCTGTTCTCACTGAATCTGCCCTTGCTAAAACAGGGATAAAAAAGTGCAAATTGAGCAAAATGAGGCATGGCTAAAATGCAT